AGGCAGCCCCCAGACACCACCAGTGTCAGCTGGGACCAGGCCCAGCTTTCCTCTGTTGAGGTTTTTCCAGTTCCCATTAGAGAACTTATCTTTTTCCCTTGAGTTCAGTTTCAAATTACTGTGCTATCAGCCAACTGGAATTGCTTCTAATTACTTCTCTTCCCCTGGAAGGCTTTAGTTTGGAGAAATCCAGCTGGAATGGGTCCCTCTGGTGATATCAGCCAGACCCCTCCTGCTGTGACTGCAGCTCATGCCCTACCTCACTGAGCACCATGTTTCCTGAGGGCAGTGGGGAAGTGACTGACAGGCACAAGATTTTAAGCTTTCAGGAGCTTAAAATCCTGAGGTGTTGTTCATGGAGGAGAGGACACAGGACAACTTGTTTTGTGCCTCTCCCTACCTGTACTGAGGCTAGGGCTCAGACAGGTTGAACATGCTTCATAGGTGCCACATGGAAAGTCCCTCTGAAGTTTTGGCATGAGATCCATGTTTCTCAGTCTGTTGTGTCCTCTCATCTTGTAGGGTGGGACATCACACAGGGACTTTCTGGAGGAAGACAGGACAGGAAGCTGAGCAGCCCGAGCATCTATTGTTTAATCACGAGGCTGACTGTGACCCCACTGACCACGAAACAGAGGCACTCATTTCTCATGGAGTGGTTGAAGTTGCATTATCCACAGATCATTGATTACCTCTATTTGCCAGTCCCCATCTGTCAGGCATGGATATGACTGGGAAACAGCTGAGATGAAGCTATCATCCATTTCAAGCGAGCACGCCACCCAGCTGGGACTTTTCTCCTAACAGAAATCTGTATCTAGCCTGTTTTCCATCCTCTTGAAAATAGAGGATGGAAAAAAACCAGAATCCTGCCAGGTTTCACATCATGGAATGAAAAATCCTGGAGACAGGCTCATCACATTTGCTGTGGTGCCATGAGGAGGAAGCACAGAATCTCCCCAAAGTGCTCCTCAGAGTGCATTGTGAACCAGTATGAGCCCAGCTCAGGGCAGCTTGCTGCTCCTGTCCGTCAGCAGGAGCATGAATGATCCCAGGGGGCAGAGAGCTACTGGAGCAGTGCCAGGAAGTGGGAAAGTGTTGAGCTGAGCTGCTGTTCCCATGGGCTGTGGGACCAGAAATGCCCTGCCATGCATCTGAAGGATGGGCAGCATAGGAACTGGCCGTGTGGCACAGACCCTGGGAAGAGCAGTGCTGAGCGCTTGGGCCAGCACAGGGGAGGTTGTCCTGCGGAGGAAGGGGAGCTGCTGACCAGGCTGGGTGCTCATGGCACCTTCTGAGTGCAGACACTTGCCACACATCCCCAGCTGAGGGCACTCCCAGACCAGCACATGAAGTAGGACCAGTTTTGCTCTACAGTCCCCCGGGGTGACCTGAACGTCCCAGTCACTCTGCTTGGGTCCCGATCCACTGAGTTGGGGGAAAGCTCCTGCCTGGAGAGAAACAACACAGGTCTGAGCCACCAAGTTCACTTGTCTGCAGCCTGTCAGCTCGGCAGCCCTCTCCATGCACATCCACATCCTCCAAACACACCGCACTTGGGCTCCAGCTTTTGGGACGCTTTGTGGGTGGCTCTCACAATCCTCCCCCCCACATCCCGGTGGGCTTCTTGACCAAGCCAAATAGCTGACACCACTGAGTATACCAGCAGGAATCAGTGCTCTGGATGTTGCAGATCAGATCCACCAACCCACAAAGCCTTTTTGGGCTGAAGGATGGGGTCCAGCAGGACAGCCCCGATGCTGCTGCTCTGTGCTGCTTCAGGGACCCACCTAGAGCTACAGACCCATCACAAAGGCACCTTGCAGAGGGAGGCTGAGTGACAGGGCCTCATTGAGCTGTGCTGGACAGCCCTTGAGGTGGCTGTGAGGATTTGGAGTGACTCTGGACTGCCCCAGAGAGGGGTCAGGGCAGCTGCAGTGACAGGAAGGAGAGAGGGAGTAGACAGAGCAGGCTGGGGACAAGGTCAGAGCAGACCCTGCTCTTTGCATCTCTGCCTCCCATGGTTTTCAAAGATAAATGGTCCTGGGTACTGGCAGCCTGCAAAATATAAGAGCTTGATTTTCCCCCATCATTTCAGGGGCCACCACATCTCTCGTGGCTGTCAGGCACAATAGTGACTTCAAAGCCCCATTATCCCCTAAAGAGCAATTTTCCACTGTGGACTGCTTTCCTAGGCTAGCAGCTCCACTCTCTGAGAATTAGTAATAAGAAATATGCTCTTGCACAGTCCTAAACCTGCTGTTTCTAATAAAGAGCTGTTTGCAGCAGCATCCCTCTTGTTGCTTTGATCTGGCACCAGCAGAATCTGAAAACACCACAGAGAGGAGGCAGGAACAGCCCAGAGAGCGTGGTGAGTCAGAGCTTTCCTCAGCCCCTGCACCAGTACCTGCAGGCACAGCGCTGTGCCACTGGCCTGAGCCCGGCACCAGAGATGGCATCTGATCCCCAAGGTCATCCTGTAGGCTGGGCTGGGTGCCAAAGGCCTGGTTGCTGGCTCAGCCCTTTCCAGGCTGTGGAGGGAGCATGGAATTCTGAGGGAGGAGCCGGCTGTTTGGGTGTCACTGGGGCTGCAGCGGTGATTGAGGGACTGGTCCGGTGTCCTGTGCAGACCTGCCTGGGGCTGGGAGCTTACCCCGGACCCAGGTCCATCATCCAGTCCAGTCCTGTTCAGCACCTGCCAGGTAGACCAAAGTGGGATCTAATTCAGACACTGCCCCCAGGCCCGGGGCTGCACATAGTGGTGACAGGTCTCTCTTGGGACATGCTGGGACCTCACCCTGCAGCAAATGTTGCACTTTGTGGCTCTGCAGAAACCAGTGCGCTGCTCGCACTGCCAAAGCAGAAACCCCCTCTCGCATCCACTTGGAAACTTCAGCTGCTGAATGGCATCTCGAAATGTCACAAGCCTTCTGTCTTTTTCCACTCCCCATGAACAACTCTTTCATATGAGTGGGAACATTCCAGGTGTTCAACCACCCCTGGGCCAGGGCAAGCCCCTGCTGCCAGTGAGTGAGTGCCTGAATCACTCATGGGGACCCCGGCACCCTTGTCCCCACGGACCCAGGAGAGAGCTGGTCCTCCTCTGACCTGCAGAGTCACAGCCAGCTGTGATCACAGCACCGCTTGTGCCCCAGTGCAAGCCCAGTTCCCACAACACAGCCGCTGTGTCTGGCCCCATTGCACCAGCCCCATGTCCTGGCAAAGCACCCAGGACTGGGCTGGAGCAGCACGATGGATGCTCTGCTGGGCCTGGACAAGCTCCTGCCTGGGATGTGGCTCCTGCCCAGAGCCTGTGGCACAAACAGCAGCTCTGACTGATGCTCCTGCTGAGAGGCTTGTAGGGCTCAACCATGACCTTGAGACACATCAGAAACTGTGAGGGACAAAGGAGATGGCAACTGCACACCAACTTCATAGGCAGCAAAAAAAAAGCATATGGGTAATACATGTGTTCCTCAAACAGCTCTTGGAACTACCTCTTTCCTTTTTTTTTTTTTTTTTTTTGGTGTTAATTCAGCTCAATTTCTTCAATACAGCACATGTCCTCACATGGTCTGTGTGGGAGTGACCTGGGCTGGGTGCCAGACACACCCCAAAGCTGCTCCATCACTCTCCCTACAAGGCCCCAGTTGCTGTTAGCAAACCTGTTTCAGCTTGGGTTCCTCTCTCCATGGGGTCACAGGTCCTGCCTGCTAGGATCTTCCCATGGAGTCATGGTCTCCTTTGGGCATCTGGTGTGGAGTCCTCCCTAAACTGCAGGTGGATCTCTGCTCCCTCATGGACCCTTGTGGGCTGCAGGGCCCAGCCTGCAGTATGAGGCAGGGGTGGAACATGGCTGGGGTGTCAGGGGTGACTCACAGGGTTGGAACATGGCCCTGCACAGCCCCAAAGGCTCCCCAGGACTGGCAGCACTGTACCTCCATCCCCTCCAGCAGCTGCCTGGACAAAAGACACCAGTTTCTCACCTGTTCTCAGATCCAGAGTAATTCTTGTGAGTCCAAGAGCCTGGATTTGTCACTGCATTTTGACTCCACTGATCCCAGCTTGCAACACAGCACAAGGAGGTTTCCCCTGACCTCTGTGGCTTCAGGCACAGCCTCAAAATACATCCTGAGGGACTACTGCAGGGCAGGGCTCCTCAGCCATAAATCACCCCAGGATTCCTGCTAGCAGCAGAAATAATGAATGCATCCCATGGTGCTCAAAACCAGTCTTTTCCCAAAGGAGAGCAAGACAGAGATTAAGGGTGCAATTTTCTGCCAGGAAAATGCCAAGTTTACCCAGTGCCTTTCCCGACTGCTGCACAGGGAAGGGCCATGATGGGTCTGTAACACACAAACAATGAATAGAGAAGCCAGATTTCTGTAATAAATTACTGATATTTTAAAAAAACCCAAAACTCTAGCACATAATCAACATTACCACTGAAGTAAGAACCCCAACATTTTTTCATTAAAGAGCTTTATAAATATATATGTTACATTAGTATAGATACTGTACTGTGCATGCACACACACAGGCAGATAAATAGGTAAGAGTTTTGGAGGTTCAGCTTTGGTCCATGCTCCTTCTGCTGTGTCTCAAGGGCACCAAAACCCCAGCGGAAAGCCGTGGCCCATGCGTGTGGCTGCCCGTGGGATCAGCCGCTGGGGACAGGAGCCAGCGCTGGCCGGGCGGCTCCGGGAGCGGGGGGCGCTCGGGGTGCCCCACTCGCCGTGCCCAGCTGCCAGGGGGGCCCGCGGCTCGTAGCCGGAGCAGGCAGGTGCCCGCAGGGGCGAGCGGGGCTGCCAGGGGCTGGAGGCACACGGTTCTCCCTGCTCCGAGCAGCCTCGCTGCACGGCGCTGCCACCGCGCTCCGGCCCGGGCCCGCCGCCGAGCGGGGCTTGGGGGGCGCGGAGGAGCTGCCCTGCCTCCTGCTGCTCCTGCTGCTCCTGCTGCTGCTCCTGCTGCTCCTGCTGCTGCTCCTGCTGCTCCTGCTGCTCCTGCTGCTGCTCCTGCTGCTCCTGCTGCTCCTGCTGCTGCTCAGCCGGGAGCTTCACGGAGCTGAGCCGGATCCGGTGGCCAGCCGTGCCGGGACTCTCCTGCAGGTACTCCTGGCTGCAGCTTCTGCTTGGCACGGGCAGAGCAAGGTGTGAGCCTGCTGCCAGGACTGGGCACTGGCATTTAGAATAAAGCTGGAGGCACAGGGGGAGCCATAGCTCAGGTATCTGGCTGTCCCTGTCACCGACGTAGCTGTTTCCAGTCGGTCCCACCAGCGCCAGCTGCTCTGGCAAGTCATGCCCATCACCTGCCTCCCCATCCTCCTCCAGCTGTGAGGGGACCTGGGAACCCAAGGCGTGGCCCAGCTGGCTGTGGGTGCAGGATGGGTCCCTTTCCTCAGGACACTCTGGGCCAAACCCGTTGGCACAGTAGCCACTCACATCCTGGGCAAGGCCTCGGAGGAGCTGTGGGGCCGCGGCTGCCGCCTGGCCAGCTGTGGATGGCCCGTGGGACGGGAGCACAGGCTGCAGGAGCAGCACCAGGGCATCCTCCTCACACTGGAGGGGAGGCACCTGAGTGGGCACACTCAGCTCGCTGTTCTGGAGAGCCTGCAAGGACACAAGCAGTGACACGGTCAGCCTCAGCCGGACAAAGCCCTGCCAGCTTGGGGAGTGACAAACACCAAGGGCTGAACACCAAGGGCTGCACTGCCTGAGCCCCCACCCTCTGCTGGGACCCACGGCTGGCTGGTGCCCCACCTTCCTGGGGGCAGGGGTTGAGACAGCAGGGGAGGCTGCTGGTGGTGTGAGAGTTGGAGGAAAGGAGGTGCTGAGCCCCTGAAAATGCAGGGAACCCTGGCTCGGCTCCAAGCTGAAGGAGAACGGTCACTCACCAGTGCTTTTGGGAGGCACATCTCCGGAGGACTGGGGAACACGTGCAGCTGAATGAAGCACAGCCCGGCCACACTTAGCAGCAGCAGCAGGAAGAAGGCGCTCAGCACGGCGAGGACCCATGGAAAGCCTGCCAGGGTACAGCAGGCTGAGGGGTCACTCAAGCACATCGCTCCCACCCCACCTGCTGTCAGTGTTTCCCATCCATGTCAGGCTGGGATGTTTCAGGGGGCGAGCCCAAGGCAGAGGACAAGAAAGCATCGCCCTGAGTGGTCCCACTGGGCAGCACTGGGCCCCAACCCTGACTGCAGTGGCAGGGGGTGAGGGACCCACACCTCCACACAAGTCTGTGCTCTGAGCAGGACCTGAGATGCAACCGTGCCAGCTGAAGTGGTGAGAATGCTCCCACCTGCAGGGCCTGCTGGAGTCACCAGGCACCGCTCAACCTCCCGGCTCCGCTCCCTGGCAATGTCTGCAGCCACCGTCCGGACACAGTACTGTGTGCTGGGCTTCAGGTGCCCAAAGGTGCAAGGCACTTTCTCACTGCTCCATTTGCAGGGCACCTGGAAACAGATGGGACGGGTGGCCACAGCAGCTGGAGGTGGGGTTTGTGCATGGCTCCACTGCTCTGTGCAGCCCCAACATCCCGCTTGCCCCATGGTCCCACCTCCTGGGCACCTCCACCTCTGTTCTTTGCCCCAGGAGGTGTTCAGGTCCCAGAGCATCTCCTGAAACACCTGTGGCATCACCTGTCATCTGAACAGAACCAGTCCAGTTCTTGTTACCCAGGGGAGGGAAGGGGTCTCCTGCCTCGCTGAGGTGAGAGCCCCGGATTGGGGGTGCAGAGCACTTCACACCTGCATGCACAGCCACGTGTGGGCAGGGCTGCAGCACAAGCATCCCCACACCACTGCAACCTGAGACGGTGGATTTGCTGCACCAGGAAAGCTTGTGTGAGCCCTGCACCTCTGGGCCCTGCCCAGCTGCCACACACCTGCTGGACAAGCAGGTCCTCCTCGTACAGGTGCAGCCAGTACCACAGCTTCAGCAGCACTCGGTCGACTGGCTTATAGGAACCAGTTCTTTTCTTGTAGGGAGTGAGTGGTGTGATGATTTTTACGCTGAGGATTTGATCCTGGAGCAGCCAGGACAACTTGGGGGGGCCAATAATTGCTGTAGGGAAGGGAAAGAATATAGAAAATTAAGGCCTTCAAAGGAAGGCAGACATCTTGTTTCTCTAGAAGTGATATTTTTCTGTCTGACATTCCCCTCCCAGAGCACAGAAGCTCCTCGGGTCTTGCTCTGAAACCAGCTCTAGGAATGGCAGCCACCACTTCTTCATGACAGCTAGCACTGCTTCTGCCTCCTCTTCACACCAACAGACCTGTGGCACCACCAGCTCCCACTGCTGAGACCTCCACCCCTGAGCGATCCAGCAGGGCCTGGAGATCCACTGCCAAGGCCAGCAATCACTTTCTAAATGAATACACCCACTGCCATGCCAGTTGGATGCAGAGGGGATGAACAAGGGAACACAAACCACCAACATAGAACCCACTTTGCTTCTCACACATTCAGTTTATTGCAACAACCCCTGTGATGGAGGTCAGAGGAGGGTCCTGAAAAATTTCTAGCTCCATGAGACTGCCAGGATTTTGGACAGAGCAGCCTGTGACTGAGAAGAGGCACATTCCCACAACTGGCAAACACAACAGTCAGGGTGAATGGATCACCAGAGGGTCTGCCCCTGCCTGCGCCAGCTTCATCTTGCTGGGGCAAAAACTCCCAGACCATGACAGGGGAAGAAGGTGAGCCTTTCAAAAGCCAAGCCCGGAGGCATATCCTCTTTCCTGCCCCATCTCGCTGCATTCCCCAGAGACCCAAGTTCTCATGGTGCCTTGCTGGCCTGGGGCCTTCTGTTCTTCATCTCACTGTGTCTCCTCTGTCCTTTTGCTCTTCACCCAGCCCTCCTCCAGCCACTCTGCCTCATCCTTTTCCTCTGGTTCTGACCCTTTTCCCTCCAGTATCCTAATATGCTTTCCCGCTGTATCCCATCAGATCTCTCCAAGGACCCCTCTCCCCGTTGGTCCCCAGGAAGAGCCCAGCTGGAGGAGCTCCCCAGTCCTTACTGTCTCTGTACAGCTGCAGCTCGCTGGAACTGGCCCACTCGGACTGCTCACCTCCGGCCACCACTCTCACCCGTGCCCAGTAGATATCATGAATCCTGTCAAAATACAGCTCACACACCCAGGAGCTTCTCCTGTTCCCCCCGCAGGCACCTGCCTTGGTCCAGTTTGAGGTTCTGCCCAGGGACAAAACACAGGAATTGCTTCTTTTCAGCATCTTCCCAGCCCAAAGGGAGGGCTGCCCAGCACTGCCTTCCTGCCCAGGTGGAGAGTGCAGGAAAGCCCAGGTAGCAGCCAACAGTCTCCCAGGATGGGTGAGGAGACAGGTCACCAGCAAGCTGACTCCCTCCTGGGGACAGATGGCACCTGGCACTGCACCCTGACCTGTGCTCTCCACAATGACAAAACACACAGCTGTGGCAGGGAGAACCCCCAAGGAGTTGAGGCTGTTGAGGCTCTGTGGTATGAGGGAACCTGAGTGAGTGGTGACGGCTTGAGCCTCAGAGAAGGGTGACTTTGGGTGGGGAAGAGAAGACAGAGCCTTCCTGTCAGTGGTGCCCAACGAAAGGACAAGAGGCAGTGGGCACAGGTTGAAATACAGGAAATCCCATTTAGCATAATGGAAAAAAACCCAAATCCCAAGTCCAAAAGCAACCCCTTAGTTTGTTACTGGGAAAGTGACCAGGAAAAGGACCAAGAAGTCCAAGGAGGTTGTCTTGAAGTTATTCAAAACCTACCAGGACACAGTCCTGAGCTGACCCTGCGTGTGCAGAGGTGGGACAAGCCAATCCCTGCCAACTCCACTGCTCTCTTACTCTGTGGCATTTACTGCCAGGCAACAGTCCTCTGGCTACCTGGGGTCCCCAACAGCCTCTGCCAGGGTATAAGAGGAGCAGACCCCTTCAGCCACTCCTCCCCACCTACCTGTTCCTCCACTCCACCTCGTAGGTGGCATAGCTGGGTGAGCTGGGGTCTGGCTCCCAGTGCAGCCAGACGTGGAAGTTGTGTGCCTCCAGCCTCACGTGCCGTGGCTGCAGCAGTGTCCCTGGGGAGGAGCAGAGGGATGTGAGCAGCATCCTGAAGAGTCCCCTTGTGGCCTGGTGCACAGGTTCCCCAGCTTCAGCCTGACATGGGCAAACACTGACTTCAAAGCGGCTCAGCCCCTGCATCCCCCCAATCCATCACACACTGAGAACATCCTCTCCATGCATCTGCCAAAGCAGAGACACAGCTGACAGAAAGGGGGAGACAACACCCTGACACAGCTGCTGCTGACCCCAGGGTTTCCTTTCTCATCACACCTTGATGACCACTTGGGCCCCTCCTCTTCACAGGTACCTTCAGTAGGTCTGAAAGGTGTCCCTGTGCCTCTCCTGCCCTGCAGCCATGGTCCCCCCCAGACTGTGGTGACAGCTCCAGCTGGCTTACCCTGCAGCAGGGAGCAGCTGGCCAGGAATAGAAGCAGGAGCAGGGCAGGGCTCATCCTACCACAGCCCATCCATCTGCCCCCACGTTACGCTGCTGCGCCAGGGGCTGTGGAAAGGGATGGGTGTGCTGGAGCTGTTCCGCTACCTGCAGACATCACGGGCTGCTGGCACCTGGGATTAAAAACAGAGTATTATTCCCAGAAGCTTCAGCCAGTGACACTGCCCCATGGAGTCCACATGCCTATCGTGGCACAGAGGTGTCCAGTGGCAGGGGACCTTCACAGGTACCCTCAGGGCTCTGTGAACCCACAGAGACGGTGGGCAGCTGCCACCCTGCTATGGCACTGTGCATGTGCTGCAGCGACCTTCTGCTGCACCCACCTGCGGCGCCCCGCCATGAGAAGCCACGCTGCCTTTGTCACCAGGATGCGGGGCTGAGAAAGCTCCTCACCTGATGCTCACACCACTGGGGAGGTGACTCAGCCCAGCTCTGGGCATGACTCACACTGGCACAACCTGTGACACCACTGCCAGGACACCCCCGGATATCCCACAGCCTCCCGGGTATGGGGAGGGCACTGTGTGTGACAGCACCCACAAGGCAAAACGGGGCACAATGAGGGACCCTCGGGCTGTAAGCAGAGACCTCAGACTGAGCCAAAGCAGAACCACCTCAGCATGTGGTACAGAACGTTCCCCCCATGTTTCCTCTGCCCTTGCAGCATTAAGAGCTTGAAACAAGGAGGAACAGTCAACAAGCAGGGACGTGCAGCTGCAAACTGTGGGCGAGGGCTGAGGTGAGACCTCTGAAACACCTGAGGTGAAGCACAGGCAGTTGGTCCAGGGATTCCCCCACCCTGTGACCAGCAGGAGCCCTCCTGCCTTTGCAACAGACCCCATTGAAGGAGGCAGCATTCCTGGGGCTTCTGGAAGCCCAGAGCTGGGGAACGGATGGAGACCCTAGGACCAGCTGCCTGTGCAGACAGGGACAGGGCTGCTCCTGCTGCAGAAGGCGGCACAAGGGAGGCAACGCTTCCCTGAAGCAGCGAAGGTGACTGCAGACCAGTCACTGCCAGCCCCCCAGCACATCCATTCCCCTTCTGCCATGGCCAGAGGAAAAATCCCAGCAACTCTCCCCGTGTTGTGGCAATAACTGAGATTGTGGGAAATAACCCCCTCTGCTCTGCACATCCTCTCCTTTGTCTGCACCCTCACCACACCACCCTGAGGCACCAGCGCTCCCCCCTACCTTGATCCAGCATTTCCTCTGCCCCTCTGCCGTATCAGGAACCCACCTGGCCCACCACCCTGTTAAATGCAACACCCTCAGCTCAGCAACCTCACATTTGGCTCCAAGTGCTCACAGGAAGCGCTGCCACGGTCGGCTCAGCTGCCAGGCTTCCTCCAGATGGGGGACAGTCCGTGTTGTCCGTGCCACCAGGCTGGGAGACGTGATTTGACTTGGGTGGTTTGTAGCTCCTTTGCTGAGCCAGGGCTTGTTTTTTACCTTCCTTGCTTCCTCGTTAGCAACGTCCCAGCTGGGCGCAGGCGCTCTGCAGTGCCCTCTGCACAGCAGAGCTGAAGCACAGCCTGTGCCAGCACGCCATCCTGTGCTAGCCCTGCAGGGACCGTCAGTGGCGTGGAGACAGGCAGGAACATGGGGCTCAGGCCAGGGGTGACACATGGCAGGGCAGACACAGGCCAGGCCAGCCCAGCAAAACCAGTATCAAATTTTATCCTTGCCAAGACCAGTGCTGCAGGCTGGGCACACAGGGCTGGGGCCCCTCATTTTGCCCTGGAGGCCACAAGGACCTGCACGTGGCTCTGCATCGCCTCAAGAGCTCCAGGCCTCTGGCAGCCCACTGGGGTAAAACACAGTTGGGCTTACGCCTCCTAAGAACTGTGCAACCATTACAAGACTAACAGCCACTGAGGGCAGCACGTGGAGCTCATAAGCAGCCTTCAGCTCTGCCTAGAACCCAGCAGTCATTGTCAGCCTGGGCGTTCCAAAACAAGAGCCCCGGAGTGGTCAAGTGCCAGCCTGGGGGCCAATGCCAGCCTCTCCAGTGTTGTCCCTGCACCACTTCAACTGCCAGCAGTGCTGGGTAGCCCTGACACATCCCCGGTACAGATGGGGCTGGGGCCTGGCAGGAGCTGGAAGGGACACAGACATAAGGACAAGGACACACAGCCACAGTAAACTGGACAGGCTCTTTAATACCTTCCTTAATGAGAACAACTTGTGCTTGCTGCCTGCTCAGATGAACTACTCACATTGCTGGCCATGTGTGCTCCTGGGGCAGAGGCCAGGCAGCTCAGCAGGACAGGTAGCAGGGGACACCAGTCAGGCAGGATGATCCCCCCAGAGAGAAGAGGAAGACACAAAGAGGAGATGCTTTAGCCAGTGCTGAAATGCCCTCAGCTGTGCCTGACAGCTGCACACTGCAGAGCCCAGCACCCAGCACCCCACAAAGTGCTGCTGGCCAGGCGGGCCTATGGCTGCTCCAGGCCCCTCAACCCCTCATCCTTTGTGGTCAGAGGGTGGGGGGAAGCCTACAGGAGTTTGGGAGGACTGTGGGTACAGTCAGGCCAAGGAGGCCCAGGCAGCCCCGAGGGGTGTGGCACAGCTGCCCCCAGCAGTTTGGAAGCATGTCTTCTGCCTGGCTCTCAGCGTTTTGAAAGCACAAAAGTTACAGAACTGGCCAACTCCATGGTCTGGAAAAGGTGGGCATGTGCCCACTGCAGGCAGGATGCAGGCAGGACATCCTCAGACTGCGGCACTGGGGTTCCTGAGGGGGCTGGGGAAAGGCAGGTCTCTCCCTGAGAGAGGGTGCCACAGGGATGAGGGCTCCAGTGGCAATGGCCCAGCTGTTCCTGGGCTGGAGGCATCACCAGCCACTCCCAGCAGGGCACAGGGGGATGCAGAGGGAGCAGACAGTGCCATGATAGGATCGAGCATCAGCACTTGTCACCACCTCTGTACCTGCCCCCCAAGGTCAAACTTTCCCTGGTAAAACCCATCCTCCAAAGGCTTTCTCCAGGTACTGAGCTACTGCCAGTGTCAAGTGGTCGTTGTAGGCGGCTGCCACCAGCTGGATGCCCAGCGGCAGCCCCTCGCTGCCCAGCCCCAGCGGGCACTGTGTCACCGGCAGGCCCAGGACATTGAAGATGGCTGCAAGAGAGAAGGTTGGATGGATCAGAGCGAGCACAATGATTGGGATACATCACTGCCTGGCTCTCCCACCCTGGGCAGGCAGCTCTGCCAAGCACAGCACCAAGATCCTGGCAGCTGGTGCTTTGTGCAGCGACATGGTTACAAGAGAAATCACTGGCCAGAGATTCCCATACATCATGTGTATAAAGGGCACCCATGAGGGATGGCACACACTGTGGCATGCCAAATTTGGGTGGTTCCTGCTCCAGGCAGCAGCCCTTCATCACTCCAAAGCCAGGCAGCACTGACACTGGCACTGAGGTGTTCAGACCACAAGAGAACCACACAGGGAGCGCCAGGCTGTACCCCAAGAGATGGCAGGTCTCAGGTTCCTGCTAAACTGCAGCTGTAACCCCTCTGGGGCACAGAGGCCCCCAATATCACACACAAAGTCAGGCCTGCCCTGCTGTGGGCTGGCACCTTTGGTAAAAGATAAAAAATGCCACACATATGAAGTACGACAATCCTCGCCCCACTCTCTGGAGCAGGACACCTCTTTGCTGCACAGCCCACTGTCAGCAATGCAAACACTCTGGGTACAACACCCCAGCTGCAAGCTCACACTGCTGCCATGGGGAGACTATCCTGACAGCCCTACCTGCAACCCCACAGGAGCCAGGGCTGCTCACCTGTGTAGGCAAAATTGAAGGGCATGCAGATGGGGGAGTGGTGCTTGGGGGCGATGGTGGGGTGCGAGGGGTAGAGGAGCACCCCGTCCGGCCCCAGCAGTGCCTCCATCTCCTCCTGCAGGCTCTTCCCCATGCTCACCAGCTTGGCCTTCCCACTGAGGTTGAGGTTCACCAGCTTCTCTGTCAGTCCCAGGGCTGCAGCAAAAGGTGGAAGTGGGGACAAGAGCAACTGAGAGGACCGTGGGCCACGTGGGGCAGAAACAGATTGCCCAGCCACGTGCAACATGCCCTGCTTCTGGGGTGGCCTCCCAAGTACCCCTTCCTGCCAGTAGCCACAGCAGATTGACCCCAGCACATATTTGTGGGCAGCATCACCCCAGCTCTGCCAAGGGAAAGGCATTCAACCTGCCCCTTCCTTCCAGCTTTTCCAGCCAGTGGGATTGAGCAGAGCTCGCAGAACAACCCCAGCACTCATTAGACAGCAGCACAACTGCACTGATTAGGGTTCTCTAGTACCTGCTGCTATGAAACAAGATCAGTGCAGACCCTGGTACCCTCTGAGCCCCAGCAGTTCTGGCAGGGCTCACAGCAGGAGTGAACCATGCCCCCAGCTCCATCACCCTCACTCCTTCCCTCAAGATACCCACTCCCATTTATCAAAGTTCCACTCTCTTGAGCTTGCATGTGACTCAAAGACATGGAGTGTCATTACAAAACTAGGCTGAAGCTGCTCAGGAAAAACCCTGACTTCCTCCACTGGGCATTGGAAGGGTAATACCTGCATTTAACAACTTGCCCACCCCACCACTGCCTCTGCACTCCCTGGGGCCCCTGCCAGCATTACCGATAGCTGGGAGAGTGTGAGAAGACATCCCCACGAGCCACTTCATCAGCTCCCACAGCGGCCACACTGGCTTCCCATGGTCCCCCAGCAGGTCAATGAATCTTTGTGCCTCCTGTAACACACCCACTCCCCTGTCAGCACAACCAACATGCAGCAGGGAGGCACAGGCTGGCATGGGACAGTGAAATTCTGCTTGTCCCATTATCCCAATGTGAGGTGTTCCTGCTTTCACACAGGAGATGCCCATCAGGAGCGCTCCACAGCTCTGACACTGATCCAGGGCAGCAGCAGGAGTATCTTTCCCTGCCAGAGACAGCAAGAAGAAGGGAGAGCCCCCCAAAGCAGCACACAAGTGACGTGATGCAAGGGATAATATCCCAGAGGCATTTCTTCCTGTGATATGACCATGGAACCTGGAAGAAGGAGGTAGAGGAGCCAGACAAACCCTCCTTAGTGTGGTGGGGCTGGGCTGCTTCATCACTGCCTCTGTGCCAGGAATGCACAAGTTATGACACTCCCAGAAGTTTATTTTATTACAAAATACTTTCCTGCACGCACAGAGCATAGCACAGTGTCTGCAATTCCAGGGAAAAATAACGTAAGTGGGGTTCCTCCTGGAAAGCTGCTAGCTGCCTGCCTGTCCTGGTATCCCAAAGGGTGTTAATCCCAGCCTACAAAGAGCAAGGCAGGATGCCCCCTGCTCAGCTGCCTTATCAACCTGCATGGAAAAGGTCAATGTGCCAAAACAACCTCCCCCTCCCTATTACCACATTGCTCCTTTGCTGAGAGCCATGGCCTCAACCCACAGGACAGCAAGGGAGAAAGGGCTGTGCAACTTTGGGAAGAGATGGAAGGAGGATTCAGGGGGAAAATGGAACTGGGAAAGCCCCCGAGTAGGTTTGGGAAGCCTACAGCTCCCTATAGCTGGCCCCGAACAGCTGGTTCTTCCCTGATGCCTCCAAAGCTGTGCCTTTGCCAGCTCACTCTGACACACCTGCCCCTCGCTGTCCTCGGATAACATCATGGCTGACCAGATCTGGAAAGAATACTTCATCTTGTGGATTGCCACACGCTGAACCCGGACCCCGAGGTCACTTTCGAGGTGCTCCACTACCTGAAGGGAAGAGCAAGGATGGGTTTGTTTCCACAAAGATGTGATGCATGCCAGAGGAGGATAAGGAGACCTACTCACAACATCTTTCCCCTGTGTCCTCTTTAGCCCTGAAGAAGAAAAAGTTCTTTCCACTTTTTAACTGCTGAAAGCACAGGACTGGGATACAAGACTGCCACCCCAGCCCTTCATCCCATCAGCCCCTGCAGGAGCCACCATACAAAGCAGCTCTTTCCCCTCCCCAGGGCTCCTTTGACCAGTCTCCCCAGGTTCTACCTTCAGGCTCACGCTGCTTCCTACCTTCTTTTGGGCCTGCAAGATCTCCTTGTCCACAGGTGATACAAAAATGGATCCGCCGTCATGATCCATGCAGTGGAATTTGATCTTCTCCAGTGACACCTTCTCATTCAGTTTCAGCCTGGGAAAGGAATGGTGCTTTGTCACAAATCCATCCCCAGCTCCTCTGCAGCAGCTAAAGGTTCCCACACGCTCATTATGTATCTTCAGGTGACCCTGCTCTGTCCCCCAGAGTGGCAAGGTGAGACCCTGAAGACACACAGACACCTACTGCCCACAACACATCCAGCTGCTCACCCGCCCCCTCAGTCCCAGCAAGTTTCTGTTGGGCAAGGTCTCATCCCTCCAGAAGCACCTTGTGATTACACACCCTGGCTGCAGCCAAGGCTGGGATTGCACAAGAACCAGGGAAAAAGCAAAGTGGAAATGGAGAGAGCAACTGTGTGCAGGCTGTGGCAAAAAAGAGGGCTGCCCCATGTGCCACATCTCCGCTCTGCTCCTCACTGGCACGCAGCATAGTTGCACTTGGTTGCACGGACCAAGAACTGAAAGAACTGAAGTGGCCATGGTATGGGATGGAAAACTCCTCATTCAACAACAGGAAAAAAGCCCTGTAATTCCCAGGAGCAAGGCCAGGCCTGGGAGGGGTGTGTGGGACAGAGGTGGGAAACAGCTCCCTGGTGAACAGGACCCTATCAGTTGGCCCATGTCTGCCCCTTCCCAGGAGCACATGGGTGGTGGGAAGGGCAGTCCCAGCAGCCAAGGTCCTGCTGAAGCCAACAGCAGAGGAAGGAAGTCACTAACAAGCAAACCGGGTGGCGTGCACGCCTGTCTCCTACAAAGGACTAATACACTGTAAGGACCAGAGAGGTGCCAACTCCAGCTCAGCAGCTGGGAGCAGTGGGAACAACTCACTTGCTGACCCCAGGACCGGCCATGACTCTCAACACAGGTTCCAGGTCCTCTGCGTAGCGGCACATGGGCCCCGTGCACAGGTAGCTGGTCCGCACCCCATGGGCGTTTGGGAACTGGCCGTCGTTGGGCACCACCCCTAGAGCAGAGATGTCAGATACTACCCTGAGTATCGCCTCCACACCTGCTGGGGTCTTTGTGTGCCAGGAGATACGGTTCCCCAGGGACAGCACACCCCATAAGAGCTGACGGCAAGCTGCGTGGGGTCAGTGGGTTAGTTTTAGAAGGGAGGACAAGCATCCAGTCAGGACACTGAAAGCCAGATAAACAACCCAGCAGATCCCAACCTTGTGAAAACATCCCACGCTGAGAATGCAATACTTGGGTAAATCCCCACCCGTCTCCCACGTGCCTGGAGTTCTGCCACCAAAAGCTTTCCCAAATGCCGACACCTGCTGTGCTCCCTCAACAGGCTTGTCCCATGCAAGGAGTTACCTGACTCCTTACATCAATCCCACCAGTGACCAGCACAGGGGTGTCCTGACCCCAACACCCACCTTACCTGTTGTGGGTTTATGGCCAAAGACTCCATTGAAGAAGGCAGGCATCCGGATACTGCCACCGATGTCAGAACCCACACCTATGACTGAGCAGGCAGCTGCCAGGACACTGCCCTCCCCACCTGCGCAGGAGAAAACGTGGCAAAACCCCACAGATTATGGTGCAAATCCTCCAGCAAAGCAGGAGCACCTCACAGTAAGGGTGGGGGCCTAAAAAGCAATAGGGATGGGGAGCTTTAAGTGATGGCTGTGGGACAGCCTGGGACTGTGGGCCAAAGGGATCTTCCTGCTGAGGTACAACAGAGCAAACTGAAGCAATGCCTGATGAAACACCCAGAAGAGGCAAAGCAGCTGAACCTTCCAATAGCCTACAGCAGTGCCCAGGAAAGAGGCCCGTAATCTCTGCAAGAGCCCAGGGACACATTAATAGCTGTGTGCAGAGACGCAGAACTCTTCCCTTGCTGCATTTTAACCTGCCGCTCATGCAGGACTGTGCCAAGGAGCTGGGGTTCACCTGAGCTGCCGCCCACAATCCTCTGCAGGTCGTAGGGATTGTTGGTCCGCCCGTAGACCCTGTTGCTGGACTCGTACCACATGCAGAGCTCGCTGCAGTTGGTGACACCCAGTGGGATGGCACCTGCCTGCTTCAGCCGCGACACCACTGTGGCATCCGAGGTGGCGATCACATTGCGGCGGTTGACCAAGCCAGAGGTGTTGGGCATCCCTGTGGTGCCAAGATAAACAGGAGTGAGGCATCAGGGCCAGTGCCCCGAGATAACCTGGGGCTGCAGGAAGCAGGTTCCCAGTGACAGCTGCTCCTCCGCAGCACCTGTGTGCTACACGTGAACGCAAACGCAGGAGCCCGGCCAGAGCTCGGTGCAAACCAGGGAAAGGGAGACTACTTCCCTCCAAGCACCTGCCACAGCCCCCCACCACTCTGGGGAGCACATCAAGACCTGGAGAGGCACAAAAACGAACCCACCATAGAGAGAAAAGGCCTCCTTAACGGTGAAGGGAACCCCCAACAAGGGGAACTTCTCCTCCAGGCAATCATCGCCAGGGCCCTCCAAAAGCAGCTTGTCCACCTGCCGGGCTTCCTGCAAGGCCTCCTCAAACCTGTAACACAGCACCCGGCGATGTTCTGGCGCTGGATCAGAGGAGCGGGCAGACCCCAAGCGCGGCAGGAGCTTGTGAGGGGAAGTGAGACCGCCCGGTCTCTGCCGGAGCCGGGCGCGCTCAGCACGGAGCTGCTGCGGTGGCGGCGAGGGGATCCCCGAGCCCCGGCGGCGGCCCCGCCTTGGGCCCGAAGGGAGGCAGGCGGGGAGCCACCTTCTCACCTGTCCTTAACCACGGCATTGATGAGGGGATTCACCTCCTTGATCCTCTCCACGTACGCCTCCACCACCTCGATGCACGTCACCTGGCACGGGGCACAGCGGGACCTGCCGTGAGGCGCGGGGAGCGGCCCGAGACCCGCCGGCCCCGCTCCCCCTGCCCGGTGGTACCTGCCGCGCGCGGAGCAGCTCCGCGAGGCGCCGCGCGGACAGCAGCAGGAGCGCGTGCCGCGGCTGAGGGACGGCGCGTGGGGCGGCGCGCGCGGTGCCGGCGCGCGGCGGCGGCAGCAGCGCGAGCAGCGCGAGGCAGGCGCGCGACAGCAGCCGCAGCAGCAGCGCGAGGCAGCGCTCCGCGCGCGACAGCGCCATGGCGGCCCCGCCCGGAAGTGACGTCGGGGCGACGCACCGCCCGCGTTGCCGTGGCGACCGTTCCGCCGCGGCCTCTGCCCGGGCTCGTCCCAGTGCCGCGTGCTCGGGGCCCGCCCCGGCCCGGAGCTCCCCGGGAACGCGGGGCCGCTCGGGGGCCGCTCGGGGCCCGCCCCGGCCCGGAGCTCCCCGGGAACGCGGGGCCGCTCGGGGCCCGCCCCGGCCCGGAGCTCCCCGGGAACGCGGGGCCGCTCGGGGGCCGCTCGGGGCCCGCTGTGCCCCGCTGTGCCCGGAGCTCCCCGGGAACGCGGGGCCGCTCGGGGCCCGCCCCGGCCCGGAGCTCCCCGGGAACGCGGCGCTCCCCGCCCGGGGGACACCTTCTGTCTCGCTGCCCGGCGCTCAGGCCCGCTGTGCCCGCTCCTCTGCTCCGGGACAAAGGCACACTTACCACACTTACTTTTAAACATGCTCTGAGGTGTTCAGGTACTTGATTATGGAAACAGGAAGAGCACTGTATAATCTGAAACCCTCAGGGCAAAAGAATTGGTAATGCTGGGGGAAAAAAATCATGTATTTTAAACCAAGGATTTAAGCAGCATGTGAGCAGGCCTTATTGCGTCTCTTTCCTTCTACATAGTTGGCAATTGAATTATCAGTGCAAAGCAAGGCTACAAAGGGATACATTTCTTGTGAAAATCTTCTGTGACCGCAAAGTCGGCAGGTCAGCATTTGGAGAACAATCTGCAGCACACCCGCCCTAGAAGGCCATCGGCCAACCTCTGCCCCCTAAAACCTAAGATGATATCGAAGTCACCTTGATAGTAGTTATTTTCTCATAATCTTATCAAAGAGACTTTTTCTCCTTGCCTGATGCAGGGAGAGGAGAGAAGAGAGAAGAAGCTCATAAGGGCTCGCTCAGGATTAAGTCAGGTGTCCTCTGTCTTCCAGAGCTAAAACAGTAAAACTCTGAGCTACCCTCCTAAATGTAATCCCAGCAGTGCTTTGGTATTTTTTTTTCTCAATTTCTTGGTGAATTTTCTGGTTTCCCCCCTTCAAATCCTGCCCAAATGTTGGCAGAGAGGGGTACAAACCAAAACATTTCTGTCCTGACTCTCTGCTTAAGTTGCTGCTCTGCAGAGACCTTCCCTAAGTTCTGGCATTTTGTTTGTCATGGGAAGTGCCTTGCTTAAACTTTGTCTTTTAACATTTCAAGAGCAAAGCTTTGAAATTCACACTGGATCAGCTGCCGTGTTGCCCTCTGTGAGCTCCCCTTGTCCCTGCTGTTCCTGTTGCACACCAGCACTGTCCCAGACCAGCTCAGGCTGCTCCTCCCTTAGGTCAAGCTGAGGAGCGTCCTGGGAGCTGAGAAGAAAGAACAGCTACGTGCTAGAGGTCATGGTAGCCCAGTGGAGCTTTGTGTCTATGGAAAACAGAAAAAATCGGACACAAGCTCTAGAAATAAAGGAGTAAGGTCTGGAAACCTAAGGCTGAAGTGATTCGGACTGTTTTTCAGTTACCATAACCAGCCAACCAAGCAAACACCACCCTAGGTGCACACTAAGAAGCCAGTTAATGCCAGTCTGATTACCAAGAGCATGGGGGCTTGACATACAGAGTGAAGCTCACCCATTCAGACCTGTCCCACCAAGCGACACCAGCTGCTTAGAAGAAAAACATGTTTCCGGGTCTTGCACTCTGGGATTTTATGCTTGTCATTATCGTCAGTCATTTCATTACTACCAAAGTCTTAAAAAAGCACAGGAAGTTATCAAGGACACATGGAAAGCTGGAGTGGTTCTGCTGGCTGTGTGGATGTGTGTTGTAAGCACTAATTGCCCGGGAAGCCATGGAACAGGCTTGGCAGCCGAGTGCGAGGCTGGCGGGAAGAAGAGGTGTGAGCTGATTGGCAATATCAGTCAGGCTGCCTTCACAGCATTCTCCAAAGCTCTTCTCGATCTAGTCCTCAAGGCACAAAAAACACCTTTGTGGAAATTAAAAGAAAAATAACCTAATAGCACAATTCTTTATGAAAGGAGTCCTTTAAATCTTATCCTTAAAATAACGCTTCCAAAGAAACTTGGGGTTTGTGCAGCACAGTGCTGGGGTGGGGGGGAGTGGGAAGGGATGTGTAAAGCTTTGGGTTTAAACACAGCACCTCAGATGCTTAATTCCTAGCTGATCCCAGAAAAAAACCATGAATTTGATGGCAGTTCCCCCAGTCTTGCCCTTAGCCAGATCCACCACGGAGGGATTCTGCGCTCCATGTTTCCATCCGCTGTTTTCTCGCGTGCCGGCCCGGGATCCATCAGCAGATGTTGGGTGCCCGTGCTGCTCGCTCGGCGCTTGCACAGAAAGAGCGCTGACCTCACCTTGCTGTGAGCAGGGGGCCTGCTGGGGCACAGGAGGTCCCCAACACCTCATTCCCAGGAGGGCAGGAAGGGATCCCATCCTGCCCGGGTGAGAACACGGCAGGGGCACTGCCGAGGCCTTGGGCTCTCTCCCTACAACACCCACAGAGCCACGGGCAGCGCAGCTCAGGGCTCGCCCGCGGCTCCGGCACGGCCGCGGCAGGACTCGGCCGAAGCGAGCCTAGCACCGCACAGCCGCTGGAAGCGACCAGAGCCCGGGGACAGCCCCTCGGGAGCGGCCGGAGCCCGGGGACAGCCCCTCGGGAGCGGCTGCTGGGAGGGAGCACGGCTGTCACCGCCGGCTGCGGGACCGGGCCGCCGGAGGTCGCTCCGCCACCGCCGATCGCTGGCCCCGGCCCTGCCCCGCCCGGCCGCAGCTGCTCCCTCCGCACCGAGCCAGGGTACACCGCGTTCGCTCCGAGCCCTCGATTCAACAAAATGTTTATGCGTGCCTCTGCTCCAGCAAACATCTTGGCGGCTGCACGGAGCCTGTTCGCTGCTGCTGCTCCAGCTGCACTGGAATTGGGGCAGGGTCTGTGCGATGCTTCAGGAGCCAGCTGGCCTTCCTGAGATGGTCCCCACTCCAGGAGCACCCCATCTGCGCCCTGTCCCCGCACCCCCGGTTCCATTGGAGGGACCTTGTCTGATGGGGAAGGCTGTGCTTCGCAGCCCCTTGGTGCCGAGTGGAGCTGCTGCCTCATTGGAAAGGCTGGGCAGGGGCATGCTTTGCTGCTTTACCCTGAGGAAGTGACACCCACCCCACAAACCCATCACCCATTTCCCAGTTAAGTAAGACTTTGAGGTGCATCTTGACATTTCAAGAGCAGCTAAGACATCTCCTGGGCTCCACGGTCCCTCCAGAGAAGCAGAACACGTGTGCCCTGTGCCTTCTTGACATCTGGCTGCTGCACCTACTGATGATGGCCATGTACAGCACCATGGAGTTGGGTGGGCATAGCCAGCCCTGGCCAGGGCAACTGCAGGGCTTGGACTGGCTCCCAGAGCCTGATCGCAACTCCATGTCCCCTGTCCTGTCCAGCCAGTGTAGTCCAGCCTGCTTTCTTCCCTGCCTGAGGGGATTGTGTCAGTTGTGCACATCTGGAGTTAACTGGGGACAGGCTGGCCCTGCTATGTCATCTCTCAGGCATCGTGCAGCCACTGGTCTATGCCTGGGGGGGCAGCCCTCAGACAGATGTGCTGTCATCACAATTATGCTGTTGCTCCGGCTGATACCTCCAAACCCCTTGGAGGGAGTAGGGCACCTCCTTCCCCAAGCCATATACCCTGTGAGGATGGAGCAGCATGCCCTGGGTGAGTGGGGAACCAGTGCTGAGGTCATTTCCAACCCTGCCAGGTGAGACCACGGGAAGGATTCTGTAGGACTGAGAGAGGGCCAAGACCAAAGCTCACAGCTCTGTCGTTGAACTCAGGAGGCCAGAAAGAAGAAGGTGCTGATGGCCACTCACATGACATCAATCCACACCAGACTCCCAGCCTGGAGTGTTTCTCAAGAGCACGGCTTTCAGCAGAGCCAGTTGCCCAAGCAGCTTGCGTGCCCCTGCCAGGCTGTGTGCCATGGCTCTTGCAAAATGGTGTTGATAAACACTCCAGGGCATGCCAAGTCCTGCAGGATGACAGCTGATGTGCCCGGGCTGTGGGGAGTGCCTGCACAGTGAGAGGAATTTTCCACTCCTCTATGGCAAGCATGCCTGACCCTGCTGGGGGACTGTCCCCAGCAAGGCAGAGATTATCTGCTGGTGTCCCAGCTGGCTTGTCAGGCCCAGTAAACCCCCATGCAAGTGCTGTCCTTAGGCACATGGCAAAGTAAAGGGTGGTTGGGTTGCTCGGGGCATGGTGGCACACACTGCCCTGTGCTGCATACAGGAGCAAGCAGGCTGGGTTAGGGTCCCCAAGGAGACCCCACCACCTTCATTTCACCATGGGGCTATTCTTGTATCCCGGCAAGGAACTGCCCCTTAGCTTTCCCCTTTCCAAGTACATGGGCCAAGCTGGAGTGAGCCATATGCTTCTCCATTCACTGTCCCTAGAAATTGCCTTCCTGTGATTCTGGTCCTCTTTCAATATGCCCTGAGGGCAGTGGGTGACCCTTGACAGGGCCCTCCAGGCTGCCTGGGTCAGTTCTGTCCAGATGTGTCTTCTAGCAAGTTGGAAATGCCTCAAAGAGCAGTCGCTTTGTGGTATGAAGTGGGTGTGCTCAGTCCTGTGCTGGCCACTGTTTGGTAATTAGCATGTGAAAGCTCAATTCGATTGACCAGGGTGTTCTAGAGCTGCAGTTCCTTTTGTCCACCCTGCCATCCCACTGTGCTCTCAACAGAAGCCTGAAAAGCTCGTGCCAGGCAGCACAGACCTGGACAATGTACCTGTGCACAGTGCCACATGAGTCCCTGTCCCCCAACACAGCCTGGCCCATGCTGTGCCATCAGTGGCAAAGTAGCTAAGTATCAGCCAACAGCTGGAGAGAGTGGGGGAGTCACAGGTCTCCTGTGAGGATGGTATGTTGGGAATGAGAGCTCTGTGAGGATCCTTCCCTTCCCTTCCCTTCCCTTCCCTTCCCTTCCCTTCCCTTCCCTTCCCT